CCTAGATGTTTCAACATAAAAAAAATGTAGTTACATGATTAATTCCTGAGAAATTAGTAAAGAGATCAACATTTGCATACAAGCATAGGCTATGTTGTTACCAACTTTTACTGAAAAAAGCAAGCTATTTAAATCAATTTACAAAGAAATAAATATGATACAATAAAGAAGAGAACTGAGAAAGATGGCTCCAACCAATCATCATTGTTCAAAATGGTAAATAGTTTGTTCCCTTTAATTGAAGGTCTTGAGTTCAAACATGGAGAAAATGGTCTTGAAAAAATCACACTATAATAAATGTGATAGTATGGATGTATAATTAATAAACCCGTAGACTGGTCCCAAGTTATACAAGATATTTATTTTCAACACGACTTGAAACTACTGAATCATTGGAGATTGAAAGCAAAAACACTATGGCCTACCATGAATGAATAGCAAACATATTTGGGTCAGCTTTCTTGAAGTTTCGTTCTTTGATTTATCTTGTTTTAAGAAATGCATTTACAAAATTTGTCAATGAATAATAAATAGAAAATACTACTCTTATTTTACATGAGGTAATTATCTCATATTATCTCACTTCGAAAATCTCACTCACTCTTCTTCTTCTTCTTTCTTTTTTTATCCTTTAATATTGAGTCTCACATGATTTCTCTCTATAACATGAGAGAACTACTCTCATGTAAAATGAGAGTAGCATTCCCCCTAATAAATTCCTAAAATTGATAATGAGATATTGGCCCTTTCAAGGTGGTTGTGTGTACCTATCTGCGTATAAATAAGTTTGAACTTTGAAGATTTCTTAGTTCCTTTCTTCTCCTCCTCATCCCAGTCTAGTTTTATGGGTTTTTTTACCTATACAATGTAAAATCAGAAATATTTTACCTATTTAATTCTTTCGACAAATTATTTATCAATTTAATGTGAGTGAGACGTATATAAAAGGTGTGCATGTTCAAGTCACGTATCATCCACATGTGCGACTTGTGCAAAAGTTAGCATATATCTGCCACATGCTGCGTTTTACAAGACAAACATCACTTATGCACATTCAAGCGGTGCACTCTCTCAATGCGCTTCTTGCATTCGCGACACATGGCAGGCGCACACTTAATTTTGTATAAACTACACATGGAAGTGATGTATGACTTGAATGCATATTGTCAGAATGCATGACTTAGATTGATAAATAATTTTCCAGAAGAATTAAATGGATAAAATATTTTTAATTTTTCATTGCATGGATCAAAAAGCCTAATTCGTGTTCTACTGTAGCAAGCAGAATCATGGATTCATGGTTGTTTGGTGGTACTCTAGGTGCACTGCTAGGGGTAGCTGGTGTCTTTCTAGGCTAATCCATGGAATAAAATTGAAACTAGCCCAATTCCTTGTCACACATGTTATGGCATCACATGCCGGCAGTGGCTCTCAAAATTGGCCTTTCCAAATAAAATGTGTAGGGTCAATTAAAGGGTGAAGTTAAATGATAATATCAAATGATTCAAATTTAATCCTCACCAAGCAATTGCAATGGACTTTACTTCTCAGTCTTTGACTAAAGTATATTTGTGAGACAAATTGCTTGGACTGAATGAGGTTTAGGTAAAACTCTCTTCAAGTAAAGTATAAGAATTCAAAATTCTTGAGCAGGTTATTATTTTTGTTGTTTAAGAAAAGTAAGAAGAAGAGGAAAATAGGGTTGAAAGTGTTGTGCAGAGAATACAATTAACTTTTATTGAATAACTCTTTAAATAGAGTTAAAATCTAACTGAACAAATCAGATATTTCCTTATTTGTAGGCATGACTAATAACATCCTAATCTTAAAAAATAGAATCAGCAACATATCAGATTTCAAATACTAAAACAGAAATAACAAACTCCTAAAGTCTAGATTAAACATCCCACTTTGCAGCTTTTGTAGGCATACTTTCAACAAATCTCCTCCTTGCCTTAATAGCTGCAAACACTTAGTTTAAATCTCAAAGCTTCAAATCTGGCTTTTGGGAGAGCTTTTGTTAAAATATCTGCACTTTGATCTTCAGATTTGCAATACAGTAGCTTGACTTCACCTTCTTTCTGCACTTCTCTTAAGAAAAACAACTTGATCTTAAAATGCTTAGTCTTGCCATGAAAAACATGATTATTTGAAATTGAAATAGCGGCTTGATTATCAACAAAGATTTGTGTTGGCTCATTTTGCTCCATATGTAAATCAGCAAGTACATTTCTCAGCCAAATTGCTTGATTCACAGCCGCAGTGGCTGCCACATATTCTGCCTCTACAGTGCTTTGAGTTACAACATCTTGTTTTTTTGAACACCATGAAAAAACTCCTGATCTAAAACTGAAACAATAACCAGTTGTGCTTCTCATGTCATCAATTGAGCCTCCCCAACCACTATCAGAATATCCAAGAAGCTTAAAATTCTGAAAGTGATAATACTTAACACCATAATCTATAGTGCCCTTAATATATCTCACAATCCTTTTGGCGGCTTGAAAATGCACTTCACTAGCACAATGCATGAACCTTGAAAGTATACTTACTGCAAATACAATGTCAGGCCTGGTTGCAGTAAGGTACATTATGCAACCAATTAGACTTCTGTAATGATGTTCATCAACTTTATCAGCTCCATCATCCTTGCTAAATTTCTCCTTGTGGTCCATTGGAGTAGAAGTGCTTTTGCAGTCCTTCATATGAATTTTTTTTAGTATTTCCCTTGCATACTTCTTTTGGCTTATAAAGACTCCATCATGATCTTGCTTCACCTCTATTCCCAAGAAAAAGGTCATCAAGCCAAGGTCTGTCATTTCAAACACTTGAAGCATTTCAGCTTTAAACTCCTGTATTAGCTTTTCATCATTTCCTGTTACAAGCATATCATCAACATAAATTGAAACTGTAATTAAATTAGCATCTGACAGCTTCACATATAATGTTGCATCGTTTGGACTTTTGATGAATCCAAGATTTTGAAGATGATCATCTATTCTGTTGTACCAGGCCCTGGGGGCCTGTTTAAGACCATACAAAGCCTTTTTTAGCTTGTAGACCTTATCTTCCTGTCCCTTGACTAGAAATCCCTCTGGTTGCTCCACAAATATCTCCTCCTGTAAATAACCATTTAAGAAGGCAGACTTTACATCTAAATGGTAAACTTTCCATCCCTTATGTGCAGTCAAGGCAAGCAGCATTCTGATTGTATCAAGGCGTGCAACTGGAGCAAATGTTTCTGAAAAATCTACTCCAAACATCTGAGCATATCCCTTCACCACCAACCTAGCCTTGTATTTATTTATAGAACCATCTGCATTAAGTTTGGTTCTATAAACCCATTTGACACCTACAGGCTACTTGTGTTGAGGTCTGTCCACTAACTCCCACGTGTCATTTTCTCGATCATCTTTAGCTCTTCCTTCATAGCATCTATCCACTTGTCATCCTTCCCTACTTCTTTGAAATCTGCAGGTTCTAGAACAGCTACATTACTCCTTTCATAAATTTCAGATAGCGGTCTTGTACCTCTGACTGGAATATCATCTATATCATCATCAAAGTATTGTGGAATTTTTGGCAACTCATTTATTGTCTCCTCCCATTTCCATTGTTTGTCTTCCATGAATTTGACATCTCTACTTACAAGAATTTTTCCATTTTGTGGTTGGAAAATTCTATAAGCTTTGGAAGTACTGCTGTATCCAATGAAAACTCCAGGTTCTGCCTTTTTATCAAGTTTGTACTTTTAACCTGTGGAACAAAAGAAAAACAAACACAACCAAAAAATTTGTAAATTTTGTAAATCTGGTTTGTAGCCAAACCAGGCTTCAAATGGAGTTTTTTTCTGCAGAACTCTTGTAGAGAGTCTATTTAGCAAGAAAACTGCAGTGTTTGCAGCCTCTGCCCACAATTTTTTTGGCAGCTCCTTTTCATGTAGCATGCACCTTGTCATCTCCATAATGCTTCTATTCTTTCTCTCACTTACACTGTTCTGTTGTGGGGTATAAGGTGTTGTAAGTTGGTGCTCAATTCCAGACTCTTCACAAAATTTGTCAAAAACATCATTTGTATATTCTTTCCCATTATCTGACCTTATTGTCTTCAATTTGTAATTACTTTGATTTTCCACCAATGCTTTATATTTCCAGAAAATGTTAGCAACCTCAGATTTGGACTTAAAGAAATAAATCCAACAAAATCTAGTATAGTCATCAATAAATATAATATAATATGTATTACCATTTAAAGATGATGTTCTCTGAGGTCCTCCAACTTCTGTATGTATCAGCTGCAGTTTTTGTGTTGCTCTCCATGCTGTTTGAGGAAATGATTTTCTGACTTGCTTGCCATATTGACAAGCCTCACAATCATCCATCTTGTCTTCAATCAATGACACACCTTTCACCAAGGCATGTTTCTGCATGTATAGAAGTCCAGCAAGATGGAAATGTCCAAGCCTCTTGTGCCATAATTTAGTGTTGCTGACAGTACTTGAAAAAGCTAATTGCTCCTCTTCCATCATATTAAGAGCATAGCTTTTAGCTTTCATTTTCACCTTAAATATATCTCTTCCTTCTGTATCTTTGATCAAGCACCATTTGTCTTCAAATATGACTTTAAAGCCTTTTTCAACAAGCTGCGCAACACTAAACAGATTTTGATCTATGTCAGGCACATATAAGACATCAGAAACATGTTTCAAACCTGTTAAGCTTTCAATAGCAACTGTCCCTTTTCCCTTGACTGAAATGAAATCACCATTTCCAATTTTTACTTTGGAAACAATGGTGTTGTCAAGCTCAATAAACAACTTTTTGTCATTGGTCATATGGTTTGTGCAGCCGCTGTCTATTAACCATGAATCACTGGAACTGTTGCTTGTAGCAAAGCATGTTGCAACAAAGAGTTGTTCATCTTGCTCATCTGTGGACACCTTTGCCTCTTCCAGTTTAGACTTGCAGATCCACTCTACATGTCCCATATTGCCACATTTTCTACACTCGACATCTGGCCTCCACCAACATTTTCTTTGAGGGTGATTTGTTTTTTTTGCAGTGTGGACAAGGTGGGAAAGTCTCGTATTGCTGCTTGTTGGAGCCTTCGCCCCTCTCACTCTTCCATTTGTTGTTATTCTTATCTTTGCCTCCTTCTGAGTTTTGTGTTTTTATATGAAAAGCACCTTGTACCTCATCTTCTTGTCTCGTTTTTCTTCTCTGTTCCTGTGCCTGCAAAGCATTTAATAGTTCTGCCAAGGAAATACTTGACATATCCTTTGAGTTCTCCAGAGATGCAATTGTGGCTTCAAACTTTTCAGGAATTGTAACTAAAATTTTTTGAACAATTCTAGAATCTGAAAAATCAGTACCAAGAAGTCTTACATTGTTGACTATACCAAGAAGCCTGTTGGAGTATTCCTGAATTGTTTCTGATTCCTTCATCCTTTGCATCTCAAATTCTCGAATCAGATTCAACACTTGCATCCCTTTAACCTTCTCATTTCCCTCGTACTCCTGCTTCAAAAAATCTCAAATCTCGTGGGCTGTTTTCAATGTCATTATTCTGGTGAAAATAGTGGGTGATACAGAAGCAAATAAGGTCGCTCTTGCTTTTGATTTTCTCTGCTTCTTCTCTTTGTGGTTTCTGATTTGAGCCATAGTAGGATTATTAGGAAGGGTTGGAATTTCGTATTCTTGTTCAACAGCTTCCCAAAGGTCACTTGCATCAAAATAGGCTTCCATTCTAACAGCCCAGAGGTGATAATTTTGACCATCAAATACTGGAAGCGCAATTGAAATGGATGAACCTTCTAAATTCATTCTGAAATGGTTTTGTGTGTGTTTGGGTTTGTGTTTAGGAATTGTGGTTGGGCTTGTCACTCAGTCTCACAGATCCCTAGGAATAGTAGCTCTTTGATACCAATTTGTTGTTTTAAGAAAAGTAAGAAGAAGAGGAAAATAGGGTTGAAAGTGTTGTGTAGAGAATACAATTAACTTTTTTTGAATAACTCTTTAAATAGAGTTAAAATCTAACTGAACAAATTAGATATTTCCTTATTTGTAGGCATTACTAATAACATCCTAATCTTAAAAAATAGAATCAGCAACATATCAGATTTCAAATACTAAAACAGAAATAACAAACTCCTAAAGTCTAGATTAAACATCCCACTTTGCAGCTTTTGTAGGCATACTTTCAACAATTTTAAACCAAATTTTAGCCATTGATTTATTTACATTTAACAACTCATATATCTAATAAATTAGAATCATTAAATATAAATAGGATCACCTAAGAATGTAACTCGTATGGATATAAAATAACCTGACACCAAAATTCTTATGTTGCAAGTGAAGTTTGCTTAGGTTGCATGCGGATTTTGCTCCAACTAAAATATCAAAAGTATATTATCTAGTGAAACATCATATCATTTGATTATTGTTAGAAATATATAAAATCATTAATGTAACTTCACTCAATATATTAAGGTTAAAGTTTTGGGTTGAATTGGTTCTTTACGAAGTATCAGAGTCTCATGTCTCGGGTTCGATCCTCATCACCCTCCACTTTCTCTTGTGAAATTTATTAACACAGGGTAGGTGGGCATGTGCATTGTCCACCCTTCAAGTCCAGTGAGCTTTCGTGTGAGAAAACATATTAAAAATATATAAAATCATTAATATAACCTCACATTTTTGGGTTGAATTGGTTCTTTACCATTATTATAAAACAATATCTTGTGACAAATCCGATCTACAGAACCAGACACACACACACTTGTACAGTTGTTAACATGGTCAAAGTTTCCAAAGCAGAGTTTAGTATTTATATTGTGTTTCTAAAGATTGGTGAGATTATACTTTTGAGTAAAGAAAACCTTGTGATTATTGGAAATGGAGGTAAACATGGTGACCACTGATGCAGGTCAAGTTGAAGCAAATCATGAATCATTCTTTGATAGGTATGCAGAACTGAAGGCTTTTGATGAATCAAAAGCAGGTGTGAAGGGACTTGTTGATGCTGGTTTATCTAAAATCCCAAGGATATTCATTCATGAGCAGCATAAACTCAACAAATCTTCCTCCTCTTCTTCTCCTTCTTCTTCTTCCCTTGACACCAAGCTTAATATTCCTGTCATAGACTTGGGAGATCTACTTGCAGACACTAGTTCACGCAATAAGATTATAGAGAGAGTCAAATATGCATGTGAGAAATGGGGGTTCTTTCAAGTGGTCAATCATGGTGTTCCATCCAGTGTTTTAGATGGCATGCTTGATGGGGTGTGCAGATTTCATGAGCAGGACACTGAAGTGAAGAAAGAATTCTATACGCGTGATTTGACCAAAAAGGTATATTATATTACCAATTTTGATTTGTATGCATCACCAGCAGCAACTTGGAGGGACACCCTTTCTTTTATAATGGCTCCTCAGCCTCCTAATCCTGAAGAACTTCCTGATGTTTGCAGGTATGTTTATAGAATCCAGCATGTTAGTGGTTAAATAGAAAATCTTGTTTAGTTCCTTAGGTAAAAGATCTACTGATGAATTTGGCTACCTCTCAGTTAACAAAATTTCGGCACAATTTGTGTATAATTTTGTGTTTGTCATTAATCTTATCCATGTGATTTTAATACTACACATTCAATTCATGTAATTAGTCTCTTGCAAATTCAAGATAAGACTATTAGTATAAACCCAGATAATAGTTTCCCTTTTTTATTAATCCTATATTGGTGAATGAATAACCAACGCAGTGTCCCTCAAATCTCTAAATATTTACTTAAAAAAACTAAAAAAAGGATAAACTTCTAATCCTATAGGGTTGTGAAAGAATATGAGAAGTGTTAAAGAAAGAAGAATTATTTACTTTTCTAATGTTCTACTGCTTGCAGAGATATCACAAATAGGTACTCAAACTATGTCAAGGGACTAGGGACAATTCTGTTTGAGTTGCTTTCTGAAGCATTAGGCCTCAATCCAAGTTACCTCAAGGACATATATTGTGCAGAGGGACTTTTCATTCTTGGCCATTATTACCCACCTTGCCCTGAGCCAGAACTGACTATGGGCACCAATGGTCATTCTGACAGTAGCTTTCTCACTGTTCTCTTACAAGACCAACTTGGTGGCCTCCAAGTCTTGCATGAAAACCAGTGGGTTGATGTCACCCCCATTCCTGGTGCTTTGGTCATTAACATTGGTGACTTGATGCAAGTAAGTTCAATTTTTTTGGGGAGTTATTTATATAAATTATAAAACAATCTTTCAAGTTTTTAGAACTAGTTATCTTAGTAGGTATCTTAAAACTAGTTAACATGTGTCATTAAAATTCTGACATTAATAAATAAGAACTCTTTTATGTTATATTCAAATTTTTATGGGAGCAATTATCATATCAAAAAGTGGCCATGAATTAAGAACTAGTTATCTTAGTAGAGCTCAAACTCCCAAGGCAAAATAAGCTATTTGTAATTTTATTGGAAGAAACAATACTGAGTTTTCTCAATCTGTTTTTGCAGCTAATCACCAATGATAAGTTTATCAGTGTCCACCACAGAGTTCTGGCCCAAAAATTAGGTCCAAGAGTTTCTGTTGCAAGCTTTTTTAGGCAGCGTCTTCAACCTGAGACTTCAAGACTATATGGACCTATAAGTGAGTTGCTGACAAAGGAGAATCCTTCAGTTTACAAGGAAATCACAATACAAGACTTTTTGGCACACTTCTTTGCCAAAGGGATAAATGGTACCTCTACACTTGAACGTTTCAGGCTGTCTAACCATTAGGATAATCTTGGAAGTAAGCACCTTCAAGTGGAGCTTGAAAGTTGTTATTATGAGAAATCTCACATGTCCTGTTTGTAAATCTTTGAATTGGTTGAATGAATCTGAAATTTTTATTTTATTTCTTTGCAATAACTTCACCCTCAAACTGCAATTAGTATATACTGTACAAATCAATCAAGCATCGGGTAGAAACTCTGAACTTTATATATGATCATTTGGACTTCTTATCATTGAAAATTGATTGTTGGTTAACTAATTTATTGATGGCTAAATTGTTCTAAGAGCCTTAACCAGTAAGGCAAAACATCCCTATTACCTTATAATTGTTGTATTTGTTGAATAGATATCTCTGTTACTTTTATTAAATACAAGTCTAATTAAAACCTCAATTCATTTAGTCTTTTCTTTAGTTTGAAAGCTTGATTCTTTGATATTCAAGAATTTGATATAGGATAAAAAGAAACCAAATTAACCGTTCTCTATGGACGGTCTTTAAATTCCCTATACTATTTCAGTGTTTGTTAGCACAAGATTCGATAATTTCAATTACAGAAATTCAGGCTAACATTGCTGTAACTCCTATTAACATTAGTAGTATTTGCAAATTATGAGAACATTGTTGAATGGGGTTTGCATAGTAATACTATGTAATTTAGTAAGCTAAATGACATGGAGTCATGGATCCTACATCATTGGCACAACTTGAAATATAGTAAAACAAGTACTACTAACCACCAGCTATGGATTTTGTATGTTGATTATACCTAAATACCTAATGAGTGCAAAGTACTCTTCATACCGCGCAAATAGAATTGTTTCTTCTCTTCATATTCCTGGTTATGAAAACTCCACACTCCATACAATCCTATGATTGATAATTTGAACGAACTGGCAATAACCTCATAGCTTTGTCTTCAAATAGAACTCTCAAGTCTATGACTAAAATCCTAAGATTTATGTAAAGGAAAGAAGAAGAGGAAGATTTGCAGAGTTTATGTTGCCAAGTGCCAATGAATGAAAATCCTTGGGACATAAGATAAACCAGAATCAACAATTCCCTTCACACCAACTTCAGATTCATCAAGCAATTGCTCTACTTGGTCAGAGACCCCCACATTTCCCTCCATTTTGATATGAAAGTTTGTCAACATTTTAAGGTTGCTTAATCTTTTCTATGTTGTTGATTACATTATAAAAACTAAATAGTGATTACAGAAAACTCCCACAGCCCCGCATGATACCCAGCAATATCACAAAAGGTTGAAGTTGGAGGTTGCTCCAACCACTCTTTCATGATAGGATTACATAAAATAAATTCTTATGTATTATGAGAATAATATAATCAATAATCTATATTTTATTATCATAATACAGAAACTAGAAGATTTACTCCAGTATAGTTCAAATATTTAAGGGTGCCTTTACCTTGTTCTGTCTCTAGAACTTCCTAATGTTTATTTAAAATTCACCAGATGTTGGAGTCAACTCCCAAAGAATCAAGAGTGCTCCAATCTAATTCTCAATATTAACTTTACAATCTGAAAGACTGCAAGGACGAGTTCCCATCAAGACCCTTTTCAAGATAATGTGCCCTGGCATCTTTCATAGTAACATCCTTATAGATAGGCGGGTTTTCTTCAGATAACAATTCCTTTATTGGACCAATAACCTTCGATGAAGCCTCTGATGATGTGTCCAAAAAGAAGCTTGCAACAGAAATTCTAGGGCCTATATGCCTCGATAAGACCCGGTGATAAACACTGATGAACTTGTCATTTGTTATAAACTGCAATAGAAAAAAGGAGATTCATAAATATAATTATGAAAAGTTCTGAATGTCAGCGATTTTATTTTTGATAAATCATAACAACAATAGATGGCAGGAACACCAAACCATCAAGAATAAAACATGACATTCAAGCTGGTAATTATAATGCATTACTTAATGGTAAGTGTTGAGATATATAAAACCATTAATGCTTAAGCTGTTGGGTGAGGCTACATTAATGTTTTTATATATCTCAACACGCTCCCTCACACGAGAGCTCATTGGACTTGAAGGGTGGACAATGCACAGGCCCACCTACATATGCGAACAAAGAAATTTCACTTGAAAGAAAGTGGGAGGCAGCGAGGATCGAACTCGGGACACGAAGCTCTGATACCATGTTAATTATCAAAGATTACAATCAATACCTCTTGTATCTTGATAATTAACAGTAAGTACTAGAAGTACTGAAAATATTTTAGGTCGCTATGATGTTGCATCATATCCTTTAAAACATTTCCAATTTAATGTTGTAATTCAAAGGAAATATAGATGGCAATGACAATTTTGTAGAAAAAAGGACTTTGAAATAGAATAAGGAAGCCACATGTTATCATACAGAAGATAAAGGGAAATGGATGCTAAGAACATGAATAAACCGCGTGGCTTTGATGTAAGTAACAGCAGAAACGTTGAAGCAGATAACTTGGTATGGAAAATTTGATAAAGGGATGGTGCAATGTTTAAAATCTAATCAATAACATATGGTCAGTATGAAGGGGCATGGTCTATTTTTATTCAATTACAAGGTTTCCTTTATTGTCTTTTGTTGTAAATATTGGTTATTTTATTATTATTAGTATTTTTTTTTGTATTGGGCCAAGCCCATTAGGTCAAGTATTAGGGTTTTCATTCTCTATAAATAGAGACCCCTTTGTACAGATTATACACACAATTATAATAATATTTTCTGATTACTCTTTTCAAGTTGGTATCAGAGCTCTCGATCTTGAGGGCTTTGCTTCCGCACTTACGAAACCTTTCTATTCTTTTTTTCGTCTCTCGCTGCCATCAGCCGCCACCGGAAAAATTTTCCAGGGACCTCTTGGACCGAGAGATCACTGTTTCTCTTTTTTTTTCTTCATTACTCAGTAACAAGATCAGATCTTTTTGTTTTTCCCTCACTGTTCATCAGCCACACCACTGTTCATCAAACGCTCAAACAACGCAAACAAGGCAGAATCCTTCTCTTCGCGTCTTGGTCGTTTTCCGGCCGTTTTTCAACTTTGACCGACCACAGACAGGATCGCGACCGTCAGACGACCGCGCTGCAGAAAAATCAGCTCCGGCGACCACCGCACGCGCTGTCACGCGCCACCACCTTCCCGGCGAGTGAGGCCCACTCGCAGTCAACTCCACCGGCGCGTGGAGGCGCGTGGACCACCTTTTTGAGCTCCGGCCAACACCGTTCTGATCGTCTCTTCATTCTCGTTCTGGATCTGTGCTCTTCCCTTTGATTGAACGTCGTTTGGTATTTTTTTTCGAATTTTTGGCTTCTCGGAGCCTTTTTAGTTGACTGTTTTTTGTACCATCTTCTCAAAGGAGTTCCTTTACAAAGTTCTATGATAGTGCATCTTCTACACCTAAGAGAGATGATCGATGGTGTTCTTATTGTAAAAGAACAGGTCATATCAAGGATTTATGCTTTCGCCTTCATGGAAAGCAAACTGTCTTAGAAAAGATGGCAAGGATGCGTGGTCGAGCGCATTTTACTTCCTCTGAAATAACCCTTGCACCTAATGAGACCCAACCTGCATTTTGTCCAGATGAGTTGGAACGGCTCTGAACCATCCTTGATTATATGAGTAAGCCATCTGATACTAGTGCTTTGTCTATGACTGGTATGAGCTCCAAAACTCATTCTTTCCTTTCTTCATGTAATGATTTTAAACATTCTTGGGTTGTTGATTCTGGTGCTACTGATCATATGGCTTGTTGTGCTGACTCTTTTACTTCTTATCATCCTACCATTGGAACTCATACAATAGCCATAGCTGATGGCTCACATACATCAGTTGCGGGTTCTGGTGACATAAACTTACAGCAGTCCTTACATCTTAAAGATGCTCTTCATGTTCCTAAACTCTCCACGAATCTTCTTTCTATTCATAAAATTACAAAAGATTTGAATTGTACTGTGACCTTCTTCCCTACCCATTGTGTTTTTCAGGATCTCGCCTCGGGGAAGACGATTGGTAGTGCTAAAGAGCAAGGTGGGCTGTACTATCTGGTGTCACAATCTCCCGCAAATAAAGTAACAGATCACATCTTGATGTCCCATGGTCAATCAACTGCTGATTCTTTGATTTGGCTTCATCATAAGCGCTTGGGACATCCTCCATTTGGTTTACTCAAATCTTTATTTCCGTCATTGTTTTTGTCTAAGCCTGTTGAGTCTTTTCATTGTGATGTTTGTGAGTTTGCTAAGCATCATCGTGTGTCTTTTCCTTCTAGTAGTACTAAGAGTGTTGAACCTTTTGATCTTATTCATTCTGATGTTTGGGGTCCTTCTAAAGTCTCTCATGCTTCTGGAAATAGATGGTTTGTTTCTTTTATTGATGATTGCACTCGTGTAACTTGGGTTTACTTAATGCGTGAAAAGTCTGAGGTACCACAACTGTTCTTTCAATTTTATAAAACGGTTGAGACCCAATTTGGTAGAAAAATCAAGAGACTAAGGACAGATAATGGTACTGAATATGTTAATCACAGTTTTTCCCAATTTATACGAAATTGCGGTATGATTCATGAACTTACTTGTGTTGACACCCCTCAACAGAATGGGGTTGCTGAAAGAAAAAATCGTCACCTTCTTGAAGTGGCTCGTGCATTAATGTTTCAGACACATGTACCCAAATACTATTGGGGAGATGTTATTCTTACTGCAGCATTCTTGATCAATCGTCTACCCACTCGGGTCCTCGATCATGTAAGTCCTATTCACTCAATGACTTCTTTTTTCCCTTCTATTCCAACTTTGCAAAGTCTTCCTCCTCGAGTGTTTGGGTGTGTTGTCTTTGTTCATGTTCATAAACAGCATCGCAGTAAGTTAGATCCTAGGGCTCTTAAATGTGTCTTCCTTGGATATGCTCCTGATAAGAAGGGCTACAAGTGCTATCACCCTGGAAGTCGGAAATTTTTTGTTTCTATGGATGTTACATTTCAGGAATCTGAGTCCTTTTTCCAAGGTCCTCATCTTCAGGGGGAGAATAATTCACCAGAAGACTCATCACCTTCCTTCTTTGAATCTTCAGTGTCTACTCCTTCACCTGTGTCAGTGTCTCGTCCTCTTGTTCCTGTTCCTAATGTGTCTATGTCTGATCCTCCTGTGACTGATCCTCCTATGACTGATACATCAAGTACACCAGAGATACGGAAGATTGTAACACCTGAATTGGTATATCAAAGAAGAAAACAGCCCACATTGCCTCAACAGCAACCTCAATCGTCTGAACCACTGGTAAGTCCTGAATCTCATATTTCCGATCATGATGTTAATACTTCTGATGACTTACCCATTACTATTGCTTCTGATGATTTACCCATTGCTTTAAGAAAAGGAAAAAGATCTTGTTCCAAGAAATCTTGTTCTTCATGTCCCTCTTGTACTCAATACCTTATCTCTCATTTTGTTTCCTCTGCTAATCTTTCTGTGCAGCACAAAAGCTTTGTTTCAGCACTAAATTCTACTTCAATCCCAAAATCAGTACATGAAGCTTTGAAAGATGGGAATTGGGCTCAAGCCATGCAAGAGGAGATGAATGCGTTGGAGAAAAATAAAACATGGGAGATTATTGATAGACCCAACGGAAAGAAAGCAGTAGAGTGCAGATGGGTTTATGCTCTGAAATATAATTCTGATGGCACTCTTGAGAGATACAAGGCTCGATTAGTCGCCAAAGGTTACACTCAAACCTATGGCATTGATTATGAAGAAACCTTTGCTCCAGTTGCAAAGATGAATACAGTGAGAATCTTGTTGTCCCTTGCTGCCCATTATAATTGGGATATAAATCAATTTGATGTGAAAAATGCTTTCCTCAATGGTGAGTTAGAAGAAGAAGTCTACATGGAAATCCCGCCTGGTTTTGATTCTGTGAAGGGGAAAATAAAGTTTGTCGATTAAAAAAGGCCTTGTATGGATTGAAGCAGTCACCTCGTGCTTGGTTTGGAAGGTTTACTAAGGTTATGATAACCTTAGGATATAGACAGAGTCAAGGAGATCACACTCTTTTCTTCAAGCACTCCCAAAATGGGAAGCTTACTGTGCTCCTTGTATATGTTGATGATATTATTATCACAGGTGATGATTTTGTGGAGAGACAGATTCTGCAGACAGGGCTTGCCTCTGAGTTCGAAGTCAAAGACCTTGGGAAACTGAGATATTTCCTAGGGATAGAAGTAGCTCATTCAAGCAAAGGAATTTTTATCAGTCAGAGGAAATATGTTTTGGATCTTCTCAAAGAAGCAGGGAAGCTCGGGTGTAAACCCTCTAATACTCCTATTGAGCAGAATCACAAGATAGGCTTTGAAGAGGAGAGTCCTCCAGTTGATAAAGGACAATATCAACGGCTAGTTGGAAAATTGATATATCTGGCTCATACTAGACCATACCTAGCTTATGCTGTTAGTGTTGTCAGTCAGTTTATGCACGATCCAAAGGAGAAACACATGCAGGCAGTAGAGAGAATTCTGTAGTATCTTAAAGCTACTCCTGGTAAAGGATTGTTGTTCCGACGTGATGGCAATCTCTCTTTAGAAGTCTACACTGATGCAGATTATGCTGGATCCGTGACTGACCGTCGTTCTACCACTGGTTATTGCATGTTTCTCTGTGGTAACTTGGTGACATGGAGAAGTAAGAAACAAGATGTGGTTGCCAGATCAAGTGCAGAAGCTGAATTTCGAGCTATGGCTCAAGGCATTTGTGAGTTACTGTGGCTGAAAATTATACTTGATGATCTCAAAATAAAATGTGAGGGACCTATGAAGCTGCTATGTGACAATAAGTCTGCTATTTGTATAGCTCATAATCCGATTCAACATGATCGAACTAAACATATTGAGGTCGACCGCCATTTCATCAAAGAGAAACTTGATAGCGGGTTGATTACCACTCCATACATTCCCACTGGACGTCAATTGGCTGATCTATTGACAAAGGGACTTCCTCCAGACAGATTTCAAGAACTTACTAGCAAGCTGGGAATGATAAACATCTATTCCTCAGCTTGAGGGGGAGTGTTGTAAATATTGGTTATTTTATTATTATTAGTATTTTTTTTGTATTGGGCCAAGCCCATTAGGTCAAGTATTAGGGTTTTCATTCTCTATAAATAGAGACCCCTTTGTACAGATTATACACACAATTATAATAATATTTTCTGATTACTCTTTTCAAGTCCTTTTCTGTTGAATTTTGCAGTTTATGGATTGACAATCCTATTCCATTGATGTAATTATTTTCGCATAATGCTTTGTTACAAAGAAAACAATCAAAACTAAGAATATTACAAGAAAAAAGTGAAATATGATTACTATATATGTGCTTACAGTACTAACCTGCAGAAGATCACCAATGTTTACAACAAGTGAACCATGCACTGGATGAATATCAACCCATTGATTCTCATGAAGAACTTGAAGACCACCCATCTGGTCTTGCAGAAGGATTGTCATGAAGTCACCATCTGTGTGCTTCGTAGCTCCCATAGTTAACTCAGGTTCAGGGCATGCTGGATAGTAGTGACCCATAAGAAATTGTCCTTCAACACAGTCAAATTCTTTGAGGTAAGAAGGATTAAGGCCAAGTGCCTCAGACAACAGCTCAAACAATGTAAATCCCAACATCCTTACTTTCTTCGAATATTCCATCACAATGTCTCTACAAACACCGAATTATTTCATCAAATACAAAAGAAAAGGTCCAAATTTGATAAGGTATGCAAGTGAAATGCACAAGTAATAAGGTCCAAAGGGCACACCCCAGTGCACAAGGGCCCCAGACTTACGAGTACGAGAGGGAGAGGTGAGGGTCGATTGTATATAATCTTATCTTTGTATGTTTGTAAAGAGACTGATTCTTAAACTCGAATCCGTGACTTTCTAGTCACGAAAAGCAACTTTATTGCTGCATGAAGGCTTGCCCTCCACAACTGACTTTATTGCTTATATGAGAAAAACAGCTGAGAAAAACTAAGGACCATAATTTTTTCAAATCACTACATAGATATATCTATGAAAAGTGAGATAGATAGAAAATTTACACATGATAATTTACGCAATGAAATTTACACATGAGCTATTCCCGATAATAAATACTATGACCTTGTAGAAGCCACCCTATTAAATCGGCAAAGTATTATCAAGGGCAGTGGTGAACCTTTGTGTTACCTTATCCAAACTCAGGAGAAAGGTAGTTTTAGCATAAATTTGCCTCTCTTCACTTAAGCTCATTTCGCCTTTATTATTCCTCATGTTTTTTAAAAAAAAAAAAAAAAAAAAAAAATCTTGGAGTTCTTCAAATTTGATTAAGAAAAGATCCACTATACTGTTAGCAGCAAAATTAGTATTAACAACATTACCTGCATACTGCTGGTATTTCTTCTGAATTGGGAGGATTTGGACTTACAAAAAATGCAATTGTGTCCCTCCAATCAGCAGCCTTATCTCTGAACAAGCTACCATTGCAGAAATATCTGACTTTCTTTTTGTAATCCCGGGAATAAAATTGTTTCCTTACCTCAGCATCTTGTTCATGAAACCTACGGATTCCATTGATCATCTCATCCAAAACATGTACTGAAATACCATGATTGATTACTTGGAAAAATCCCCACTCCTTGCATGCACTTCGAATCTTGTCAAGTACTTCAACATGAAGAGATGAGTTTTTGTGTATGTCTTGAAGGTCTATGATTGGGACAGTGAACTTTGAGTCACTTTTTGAGGTCTCAGTGAGATCCAACTTGTCAACAGAATAGAACATGCGTGGGATCTTTGTTACCCCTGAATCTAAGAGGCCCTTTACACCAACTTTTGAATCATCAAATGCTTTAACTTCAGCCATCCTGTCATAAGTGGAATCATTACCTCTCTCTAACTCATTTGTGCTTGGATTAACCATACTTGGAAAGATACAAGCAGAAAATACAGTGCTCTGTGTACCAAATCTGAAATCGTTGATGATAATACTCTCTTGAAAAGATAAGAAAAGTTTGGGAAGGGAGAACGCTGAAATAGCCGGCAATGTGGAAAAAATTGGCACATTTTGTATTTTATTCCATAAGAAGCCAAAGATAGTTTACTTGCGAAATATTTTATATGAAAAATTGACTTTTCAACACTTTTTGATGCATGCACATGGAAGACATATTCCTTTTAATTGTTTTGATAAATTATCTACTAACTTCATGCCCATCATTTAAGTAAAAATGTTACTAATTGCGCTTTGCAAGATGTGCATAAAGTGTGTACACATTGTTACGATACGCATCATGCATCACCCTAATTTTTGCACTAATCATGAATAGAGATTATGCATGACTTAAACTTAAAAGTGCACACTCTTTCATTCACATTAAATTGATAAATTATTTATGAAAAGAGATAATATATATTTTTATATATCAGGGATAATATATATATATATATATATATATATATATATATATATATTCAGTACATGGGATAATATATCTTGGATTGTACAGGAGAAGAGTTAAAAAGGCCTAAAAATTTTAATCTCATATTATTAAATTTCTTTTAATTTATTTAATATTTTGTCATATCTTGTGCTAAACTTCTAATGTTTTTGCTGAAACGCAACATTTAAATCAATAATGCTCATTGGAAAACTTCATTGAGAAACTCTACTATTTTAGCACAGTTTATTTACACGCGTGAAACGACGATTTATGTTTATTATTTTTAAGGGAAATACTACTCTCATTTTATATGAGATAGTTATCTCATTTTATTTCACTTCAAAAATTGTACACTCACTTTTTTCTTTTTCTTTTTTGCTTTTTAATAGTAAATTCTACTTAGATTTTTTCTATAATATGAGAGAATTAATCTCATGTAACATGAGATTAATATTCCCCTATTTTTAATGCATTCTTTAAAGCTTTTGACGAATGACAGTTTCATTGGAGTTCAGCATAGTGATTCCCTTATGTTAATTTCATATGATTTTTGTGGTGCGAAAATATTGTGTTTGTTTTTTTCTGCAGTTACTGTGGATAAGTTATCTGCAATAAGTTCAATACGACGTCGTTTTAGACGAAAATTATGGTGTTTTTATAATTTTAATTTATTTTAGGGTTATAATAGTCTTTATATTTATAATTTTTTTAAAATTTTAATAACAAAACAACGTCGTTTTGAGAATAAATGCAGATAACTTATATGCAGTAACTGCAGAAATATTTTTCTCTTTTTTTATAGACATAAATTATGAATCTCTAAAGAAAAAAGATGCAAATGAAATTTGGGATTTACATTCATTATTTAACATGACAAGAAAAAGTTTCCTACACACACAACATTTTGTGGGATCCGTATTTTTTGGATCAAAAAAAAAACTACGACACGTAAAACAAATCTCTATAACATAACACAATCATTTTTCCTACAACATAACTTTTATAAAACTCATAAGATTTTCGCAAAATAAACTCATGTGAAATTTCATATGCTACATAAATTCTAGTGCCTATATTCCTCGACAATATTCGGTGATGAACGCTGATGATTGTCATTTGTCATAAGTTGCAGCAATAAAAAAAATATTTGTTTGCTTCGATTCAGAAAAATTAATTAAAAATTGATTGATCATGATTACAGGTTTTCAAGTAGGCAAATTGATCGGGGACAAAACCCTAATTTCAGTTTGTGAGGCACACCATAAAATAAAAAAAATAAAAAACTAATTCGAGGTCTCAAATTAATAATTTTATAATATTATATTTCTGACACATTTCTAACCCTGAACACATACAATAAACATAAATGATGTAGTTATAATTACGGGAAAAATTACTCTTATGCAACATAAGAGTAGTTTATCTCCTACACACTCATCGAAAACTGTGACATTTTATTTATTTATTTATTCTTTAAATTGTAAGCTCCATCACATATGTGTCTACAGTATCAAAGAAGATCTCTCATGCATTAAATGAACCCTATAATTAAACACTTGGTCTTGTTTCTTCTGTGAAGCGCGAATGCAATGCAAGTGTGATGAGGACCATGTTAGGGCCTCACTGGCAGGTTTGGGCTTCAAAGAAAGATCGTAGCTCTTCGTAGGCCAACGCTTTACAGTGTTCATCTCAAGATCATGGGCCGTGTAAAGAATACTGAGAATTTATTCAACACCAAAATTGAAATTAGATGGAGGTCAAATTAAACTTCAATGTGGCTATTCAACAACCTGAATAGGATTTATGAAAGAAATTTATGTGAATAAGATTGTTAGTCATGTTATGACTTATGCTCTGTGAAGAAAAAAAATTAGGGTTAAGTTTAAATACTCGTTAAGTTTAATTACTCACTGGTTTACTTGATGTCATATAAAGAATTAATTTAATCTAAAAACATAAGTTATTAAGTAATGACTTATCAATAATTTTATATTATATATCTTTAACAGTTTATTTTTAGGATAAATTTTCTGTCAACCGAACACTATTTTTTTTTCTCATATAGTTTTAAAAGGTGTACTACTTCTCATGCCAACCAAGTACATTTAAAATAGTTATTTTAGTTGTGTATTGGCAAAATAAACAAGTCAAAAATAATTAAGACAAAAATACAATTTCTTAACCATTGGATGAACTTGGCAACTCCTTGGTTAATTCGGTTGTTTCTTAAGACTATGCATGGACGCTAATCGTGCAATCTTAAATCCTGTTCCTTCTTCTTTCTTTTTATATTATTTGTCTCCTATTATAACGATACTCACTTTGTAATCTCTAAAAAAAATGTTAATCTCCGAAAAAGAAAAAAAAAACGATACTTGCTTTGTTACCCTTATCCCTAGCTATCATTATGGTCAACATGTAACCACATCCTTTACTTTACTTTTTTTTTTCTCTCTCTCTCTCTCTTTTAAATTTGTCCAGTGGATGGTTGTTTTGGAGTTTTTAATAGGGACTATAGAGGGGTAGCTTGGCCCCGTTCGATTAGGGATCTGTAATTTTTTTTTAATTTCTTTGATATTCAAAAAAAAAAAAAACTTCTAATGTTTTCTTGCAGAAACGCAATAATTAAATCAATAATACTCATTGGAAAGATACAAGCAGAAAATACAGTGCAATATCACTAAAGGGTTGAAATTGGAGGTTGCTCCAACCACTCTTTCATGACAGGATTACATACGATAAATTCTTTATGTACTATGAGAATAATATACTCAATAATGTATATTTTATTATCATAATACAGAAACTAGAAGATTTGCTCTAGTATAGTACAAATGTTTAAGCGTGCCTTTCCCTTGTTCTGTCTCTAGAACTTGCTGATGTTTATTTAAAATTCACCAGATGTTGAAGCCAACTCCCAAAGGATCAAGAGTGCTCCAATCCAATTCTCAATATTAACTTTACAATCTGAAAGACTGCAAGGAAGAGTTCCCATCAACACCTTTTTCAAAATAATGTGCCATGGCATCTTTCACAGTAGCATCCTTATAGATAAGCGGGTTTTCTTCAGATAACAATTCCTTTATTGGACCAATAACCTTCGATGTAGCCTCTGATAATGTGTCTACAAAGAAGCTTGCAACAGAAATTCTAGGGCCTATATGCCTCGATAAGACCCGGTGATAAACACTGATGAACTTGTCATTTGTCATAAGCTGCAAAAGTAGAAATGGAGATTCATAAATATAGTCAACAAAAGTTGTTTATGTCAGCGATTTTATTTTTGATAAATCATAACAACAATAAGTAGAAGAAACACCAAAACTTCAAGCATAAAACATGACATTTTTTATAACATTCAAGCTGGTAATTATAATTCATTACTTAATGGTAAGTAATAAAAGTACTGAAAATATTTTAGGTCCGTATGTTGCATCATGTCCTTTATAACATTTCCAATTTGTTGCTGTAATTCAAAGCAAATATAGATGGGAATGATAATTTTTTAGAAAAAAGGACTTTGAAATATAATAAGGAAGCAAGATGTTATCATACAGAAGATTAAGGGAAATAGATGCTAAGAACATGAATAAACCGCAGGGCTCTGATATAAGTAACAGCAGAAACGTTGAAGCAGATATCTTGATATAAGAAAAAAATTGAGAAAGAGATGGTGTGCAGTATATAAAATCTAAACAATAACATATGGTTAGTATGAAGTGGCATAGTCTCATTTTTATTCAATTACAAGGTTTCCTTCTTGCCTTTTCTCTTGAATTATTGACAATCCTACCATTAAATATTCTAGTTGTGTAATTGGAAATGGATCATCTCATATAGAAAAAAAACATGACATGGTCACGTGAGAAGATCACAACCATACAAAAGTAAACTAACGTTTATGATTTTGTAATTACTTATTTCAATATTTTTTTTCTCTCTTCCTTTATCACCATTGATCTATGTTATGATTCCCCACGCGACCATATCATGTTTTTTATACAGATCCGCAATGATTACTATATATGTGCTTACAGTACTAACCTGCAGAAGATCACCAATGTTTACAACAAGTGAACCATGCACTGGATGAACATCAACCCATTGATTCTCATGAAGAACTTGAAGACCACCCATCTGGTCTTGCAGAAGTATTGTCATGAAGTCACAATCTGTGTGCTTTGTAGATCCCATAGTTAATTCAGGTTCAGGGCATGCTGGATAGTAGTGACACAAAAGAAATTGTCCTTCAACACAGTCAAATTCTTTGAGGTAAGAAGGATTAAGGCCAAGTGCCTCAGACAACAGCTCAAACAATGTAAATCCCAACATCCTTACTTTCTTCGAATATTCCATCACAATGTCTCTACAAACACAGAATTATTTCATCAAAGACAAAAGAAAAGGTCCAAATTTGATAAGGTATTTTAGAATAAGCTTGCCTCTCATCCCTTAAGCTCAGGCCTTCGAGCTTTTGTCTTTATTATATTCCTCATGTTTAAAAAAAAAAAAAAAAAAAAAAAGAGCTTGGAGTTCTTCAAATTTGATTAAAAATAGATCCACTATAGTGTTACCCTGACTAAATTAGTATAACTTGTACTTCTT